AGTATTTCTGATGAAAATTTTGGTGTGGAGATGCATAAGTATAAAATAGGTAGCACACTAGATTTTGAAGATTTAATATGAAGAAGAATCTAAAATATCTCACTTTAATGTTGATTTCATGTTGAAATGATATTTTGTATATATTGGGTTAAATAAATTACTAAAATTCCATAACAATTCTTAGGCAGTAAGTTGCATACTTGTATTTTGTTTCTTTTGGACAGTGCTACTCTAGATATCAAGTACCTTTGGACTACTTTATAATACTGGTATATAGGAACAGCAGCAACAGCTGTTACGGATTAATCTTATAAATTCTTTTTTTCTTGGTCATGTTAATGAAAGAAAGAGTCTGACTTTATTTAGGACTATTGCAATGAGAGCATACAGCAAAGACAGATGGGGATATATAGCCAAGGAGCCGAATGTGGGGGTTGGGGTGGACAGAAAATTAATAAGAGGAAACATCAAACCAATATAACAGGATTCTTGCTGAAAGCAGATCAAGGCTTAGACATCAAGGGATGAAGAATTTGACCAGATATCGAGGGTGATCAGATATCAAGGGTGGGAGATTCTCTTTAAACCGACTTAGCAGAATTCTTGCTAAAACCGGGCTAGGCAGGCCAAATACGGGCTAGGCAGGCCAAATACTGGCCAGGGGCCAATGTGGAGGTCCAGTCAAGAAGAGGGCTCAGAGGAGCCTGACTAAAGTTTGGTCAAGGAGACTTTTTGTTAGTCATTGTAAACATTTTCCCAGCTTCCTGCCCACCTGGACCACAGATTTTGGCAGCTCACACCACAAAAGGTCCCTTGTGGCTAGGAGGCTTCTAATTGTCTTTGTTAAATGCATTAATTAGTAATGTTCCTTTCAGCTGAAAATAAGCTGTAAAAAGCATAAAGCCAGATTTTCACTAAATAAAAGGCATGAGAGAAGGCCTAGATGAATGGTGGAGGAAATGCAGTACTGCTTCATGATTTTAGGACAGAGGGTGTTTGAAGGCAGGCGTGTTATGTCAATGGAAAAGAAGCCAAACTCTGTAAGATAATTTTAAAGAGATTTAGTCC